GACAACAAAAACAACAACAACAACAGAACAGCAACAACAAAAAAACAACAACACAACAAAAACAACAACAGCAACACAACAGCAACAAAACAACAACAATAAAAACAACATCAACAACAACAGCAACACAACAGCAACACAACAACACATACACCCAAGCACTAACTCGGACAGCTGATGAGATATTCATTGGCCTTGACCACAAGCTCCTTCATGTTCTCCATCTTTTTGCCGCCATTCTTCAACTTCTTTGACGAGCTGGTTGACATGGCGATCTTCCTAGACAGACGCCACTGCGGTACGAACGATTTGAAATTAAGCGGTGCCTGCTTGGGTATTTCTTTCAGTAGAATTCCAACTGGCAGTAGGTAAAATACCCTCAAAATACGCAGCAAATCAGTGCGAGTACCATCGCTTAGGGGGGGTACTGTTGTGTGGCAAAAGGTACCCAGTGCTGTACCTGAATGATTTTGTTTAGTTCTTTTTTTGTTGTCTTGTGTCTCTGTGTGTTTATTCATCTCCTCTTCTCTATACAATATTGAATGATTCATTAATTTTCAGTCTTGTTTGAAGAACGTGAGTTTTTAGGTTTGTCGGGTTTTTGGTTTGAATGTTTGCCTTAGGCTGTAAAGTTGTGTGCTTGTGCGGTTTCATAGTTTCGTGCGTGTGTGTGTGCGTGTGTGTGTGCTTATGTGTGAGTGAATGTGTCGTCATTATAAAATTACTAATAAGAAGAAAATGATGATAACAACTTCACCAACACGTCACCTGGCTCGTGTTGAGACAAAGTAGATTGCATATTGAGCAACAGGAAGTTGACATCACCACCACCACCACCACCACCACTAATGACACCACAACCACTCCCGCTACCAGCAGCAGCTGCAGCTAATTTGAGATCATTATCATGAACTCGTCTGCTTAATTTATTCATCCACTCGTTCGTTCTATCGATCATCTCTTCGAACGATTCGTAGACGTTAGCGATCATCGATGGCACGACGGTGTGTAGACCTGTGTGTGTGTGTTTGTTTGTGTGTGTGTGTATGTGCGTGTGTGTGTTTGTGCGTGTGTGTATGTTTGAGTGTGTGTGTGTTTGTCTG